AAGTTACATCAAAAAGTCTACAATAGTTTTGGTAGTGTGCAAGTAGTTGTTAAAGATACTTTTACTCCACTTGCTCAGATATTACACGTAATTGCATTGTTTGTGAATGTTAGTAAGCAGGTTTAGATCGACTGATTGCCTGTCTTGCTGTGTTATTCTGTCGCACAGAGATGGTTTGTACGATCAAAATTTAATGCAACATAACTGGAATTTTAAATTCTGATCGATCGTGTTCGATAATTTGTAATTGTTGTAAATTGTAAAGTTAAAAAATAAAAACAATGAATCGAGGTGGTCAGTTAAGAAATGAAGGGAGGTGGAATCTTGTTAGGTCATACGCATTCGAAGAAAATAATCGAGAATATCAAAAGTTAGACATCATGGAATTTTCTGGTGATGATTTCAAACCTGAAGCATGTATGTTAGTTTGTTTGTTATAAATTTAAAAAAAATAAAAATATTTTAAATAAAGGATTTAAAAATAATTAATTATTGGCTTATAAAGGAATAGATTAATAAATATCGATACTAAATTACATAATAATAATAAATCATCAAAAAATTGGATAGATATCCGTAAGGCAATTGCAAACGTCCCTACTGAAGAGGGTGTGAAAAATTTTTTAAATTCTTTAAAAGAATCAAAAGAAATGGCTGCAATTGACCTTCAGAGGAATGTTTATAAAAATTATAATGAATTTGTAACTATATCCAAGGAAATTTCAAATATCCTTTTTCAAAACTTGTTTTCAAATAAGATTAAATTAATGAATTTAATGATCATCTCTAATTAATCTACTTGGATTTAATTTAATAATAAATTTTATAAATAAATAAATGGTATCATTCAATAATACACTACACTTTATATTATCTTTAATTTATCGAATTATAATTTACAGTTAGAAAGTGATATGCTCGTTTTGAGAGGATTATTAAACGAGTTAAGAAATGTTAGTGACAATTTAAGGGATGATGGTTCAGAGTCTGGACCTGGTAAAAAATAATTTTTTTTTTTTTTAATTGGATTATAATTTAATGTAATTTAATGCTAAAGATAATTTTACCCAATGGGAATCTAAAAAAAAATAATAATACTTTTATATAGTACCATTGGTGACATCTGAACCAATTGTTCACAGAGGTCGTAATAAGCCAGCTAATAACAGTGGTGCAGATCAGCGATCACTTCAGAAAGCTCGAATTCAAGCACTTTGGGATGGTGTGGAAGGTGCACAGGCTAGTATGCAAATTTGATATATTTATATATATATATTGATTTATACAATTATATTTATACAATGCAATTACCTATAAAATTTTCACAGAATTTCATTTCATTGGAGCCTGGACGTCATATAATTCGAGAATATTCGAATGTAGTCGAAATTAGTTTTAGTACAAATAAACCAAAACATCCTGTTCATCTATTCTTGTTGAATGATTGTTTATTGATCGCTGTCAAAAAGAAACGACAAGGTACATCAAAAGCAAAATTGGTGGCAGATCGTTGTTGGGGATTAGATGATATTAGTTTAATAGATATGAAAGATACTGATGGTAAGTTTTTTTTTTTTTATAATCGTAAGATTTTAAATTTACACAAGAAATAATTAATCATCATTATTTTTTTCATTTTTGTATTATGAAAAGAGCAAGTGAATTTTTTTAAAATTTTGAAGCATCCAACGGATCAATTTATTTTTCAGGCTAGTGAAACTGAGGAAAAGAAAAATTTGTTTAGTTTAAGTAAACGCGCTACTGAAGAGATGATGTCTTCTAAAGCAGCGAAACATGCTGGTAATTTTTGTTATCATATTTCAATTTTAAAATAAAATTTTGGGATGATTCTAATAAAATCTATTTTTTCTATTCATATAACGTAGATTCGGTATGAAAATTTCCAAACCTTTTTTTTATTATTAAAAGAATATTGATTTAATTCTATAACAAAAAAAAAAAAATCTTTTAGAATCCTAATCAATTGCAACCACTCACAAGGACATTTTCACGAAGAACCCCTAGTCCGATTTCAACAACAACACCTCGTACAAAGTTAAAGAAAGTTCTTCGAGAACTTTCGGCCGGTGATTTTCGGGAGATTGAACAAATAGGTGATCAATTAGAAGTTCATATGGCGACAAGAGATTTCGAAGAAGCTGTAGAGAGTATTGAGAAAGGCAAGAATAAATTCATATTAATTATATTAATTATATTAATAGTATTTTAATTATTATAATTATTATTATTTTCTTCAAACATTAAGTAATTAAATAAATTGAAATATAAATAATCTAATTTGGGCCATTATTATTATTTATCTTTATTAGCCAAAAATATATTATCCAATGTATCATCCGATCCATCAAAATTAGATGCTATTCGAACCAAAATGGAGAATCGAGTAGTACGATTGTCGCGTGCAATTAGTCGAGATTTGACCAATCCTGATGTTAAAAAGTCTCAAGTTCAGAAATATGTAAAATGGTTATTGCGTTTAGGATATGGTGAACAGGCAAGTCAACGAAATTTTTCTTTCTTGGGAATTAAAAATTAAAATATGATTGATTATTATTGTTTCATTGTTCTTTATTTTTCGTAATAATTAATTAATTTAATTAATTTAATTAATTTAATTTATTTAATTTATAGGCACGCGAATTGTTTCTTGTGGCTAGAAGTGAAAATATTCGACTAAGAACAAAGTAAGTTTTAATAGAAAATTTTAATTTATTTAAAAGTTTTTTTTTTATTGTACTTAAAAGTTCTTTGTTTTTTTTTTAGACAACTCAAATTTGAAGGAGACATTCCCCAATATATTAATGAATTATCACTTGTATACTTTACACTAATTAAGAATACATGTGATTGGTATAATGCAGCATTTAGAGATATGAGGATGGCATCAGGTAAAAAATATATATATTTATTTTTTCTTTTGATTAATTAAGTATAATGAATGTAATAATGACTATTAAAAAAAAAGGTCTTGTTAAATGGGCTCAAGAAGAAATGGAACACTATGCGAATATGTTTCGACGTCAAGTGTATAGCCTTCATGTACGGGATGAAATAATTGTGAATGAATGTTTGAGATATTCTAGAGAACATTGTCTGATGGTATTTATTTATTTATTTATTCGTTTACATAATTCAAAGTTATTTATTTATAATAATAATTATTTTTTATCATTTCACGTGCACAAAAAAATGCACACAAAAAAAAATACACACAGCTCAGGGAAGTAGGATTGGACTTTAAATTTTTATTAGAAAATCTTTTAAATTCTGATGTAACTACTACTATTACTACGACTACCACAACTATTACAGAAGATTTATCATCGTCTCAGAACATTAATGATAATAATGATTAAGATTTAGATAGAATATTAATCATAATATTTAATTAATTTATTTTATTTTATATTTAAATATTAATAATTTAATTTCATAAAAAAAAAAAAAACTAATTATTTAATTTATTTAAACACAATTTTAAAATTGAAAAAGGAAACAAATAATTACTATAGTCTGTCAATCACTACTTGTAATTCTTCTTCACTATAAATTCTAAACCCACGATCTGGTGTTACAGATGCCAATTGGACATTTGTATTATTCAATTTTTCTTCCATAACTTGTTTAAGGACTTTGAGTGATAAAGTTTCTGCTTCCTCTAAAGTGATTGACTAAATATAATGTATAACAAACATTTCAAATATATCAGTCTTTAAACTAAAATTTTTTTAAAATATAATTAAAAGATAACAAAAATATCACATTGATAATATATGCTTAACTTTATGATATTCTTCTTGTAACTCTGTCTGTGCTCCCTCTGATCCGGATCCAATGGCTTTCGCATTATATTTCATAAAAGTTCCAGATGGATCAGCGTGAAACCTTTTTTTTTTTATTGAAAAAATAAGAGATTATATCTTTAAATACTTTGAATGAAAAAAAATAAATTATAAATTATAAATATCAAGTGCTCACAATTGAGGTCCCTTTTCATCAATTCCAGCAACCAATAATGCAACACCAAACGGTCGACTCTAAAATAATTAATTGAAGTCATTCATATAAAAAAATCATCAATAAAAATAAATAAAAAAATAAAAAAATAAAAAAGTTAATATAATAATAAAATACCATTATGGATTCTTCACCATGCGCACTTTCCCCGAATCGTAATGCTAAATCACAAATAGCTTGTGTGACTGATTCTACTTTGATCTTTTCATCATAAGTGAAAAGATGGTTCTTTTACGCGACAAAAAAAATAATTTTGTAATAGATTAATACTTATATGATATTTGATATATATATTTTTTTTTTGTTCTATAAAGAATCAAAACGAAATAAATAATAATATAAAAAAAAAATATCTATAATTTGAAAGTCTAACCTGTGCTTCAACTCTTGCGTGGTCTATCATTGTTCTAGAGTCAGCTACCAACCCACTCATAGCACAACCCAAATGTGTATCGATTTCCATGATTTTTTCAATACTACTTGAAACCAATAATGGTGAGGTCACCCGCTTTTCGACTGCAAGAATAACACCATGGGAGGTTTGAATGCCTACCGCCGTGGAACCCAACTAATTTATAAAAAGTTACAATTTAATAAATTCCCCTTTTTTCTTTTAATTTTCTATTAATATTGAACCATAAATATACCTTAATTGCCTCAATAGCATATTCAACTTGAAATAAACGTCCTTCTGGGGAAAAAGTGTTAACGCCACGATCGTATTCTGATCTTGTAAGAAACATGGTCGTCGAAATTTTCTGTTAATTTGTTAAAATTCATAAGATTTAAATCTTGTGAACCATTGATCAACAGAGTTGTACAACCCTTCTGAAAAAAATTATAAATATAAATAATATAAATAAATAAATATATATTTATATATAAAAGATCCCTTTGACAATAATTTATCATGATAAAAATTGTACCGCTCGGAGCTGGTCATGATGTTGGTCGAAGTTGTATTCTCGTATCCATAGGTGATGATAGTACTGGAATAAAAAATATAATGTTTGATTGTGGAATGCACATGGGATATAACGACGATAGAAGATTCCCCGATTTTTCATATATTTCAAAATCAAAACGTTTTACCGAACAGCTTGATTGTATAATAATTAGTCATTTTCATTTGGATCACTGCGGTATCTTATTTCATTTTATTTATTTATTTATTTTTCAATCTCATTTATCTCATTTTATTCGCATAATAAATATAAATATTTTTATTATCTTTATTTTTTAGGAGCGTTACCATTCTTTACTGAAATGTGTGGATACGAAGGTCCTATTTATATGACCCATCCTACAAAAGCAATTTGTCCTATTCTACTTGAAGATTATCGAAAGATTACTGTAGAACGTAAGGGTGAAACAAATTTTTTTACTTCTCAAATGATTAAAGATTGTATGAAGAAAGTTACAGCTGTAAATCTTCATCAGACAATTAAAGTGAACGGTGATAATGACTTGGAAATAAAAGCTTACTATGCCGGTCACGTTCTTGGTGCTGCCATGTTTTATGTACGTGCTGGTACACAGTCAGTAATATATACGGGAGATTACAATATGACTCCTGATCGGCACCTAGGTGCAGCGTGGATAGATAGAGTACAACCAGATGTTTTGATAACTGAGTCAACTTATGCTACAACTATTCGTGATTCAAAGCGTGCCCGTGAACGAGATTTCTTAAAAAAAGTTCATGATTGCGTTGCTCAAGGTGGTAAAGTTTTAATCCCGGTTTTTGCACTTGGTCGAGCTCAAGAACTTTGCATTTTAATTGAAACATATTGGGAAAGAAATAATCTTGATGTACCAGTTTATTTTTCTGCTGGTATGACGGAAAGAGCTAATGATTATTATAAACTTTTTATTAATTGGACTAATGAAAAAATTAAAAACACTTTTGTAAATCGAAATATGTTTGATTTCAAACATATTAAACCTTGGGAAAGACAATTTATGGATTTACCTGGAGCAGCTGTATTATTTGCAACTCCCGGTATGCTTCATATAGGAACATCTTTAGAAGTATTTAAAAAATGGGCACCTCATCCTAAAAATATGGTTATAATGCCAGGATATTGTGTTGCAGGTACTGTTGGTGCTAAAGTACTTAATGGAGATAAAGAAGTTCAAGTTGATGCTTATAATAAAATTCAAGTAAAATTACAAGTAAAGAATTTATCTTTTAGTGCACATGCTGATGCGAAAGGAATTATGCAATTAATAAAACAATGTGATCCTAAAAATGTAATCTTAGTACATGGAGAAAAAGCTAAAATGGAATTTTTACAAGATAAGATTAAACGTGAATATCGAGTTCCTTGTTATGCTCCCGCTAATGGTGAAACTATTACAATTGAAACTTCCCTCTCTATCCCGATTGACGTTTCAGTAGATTTATACAAACGAACTATGTCTTCATCGAAACTTAAACTTTTATTAAATAGTGATAGAATTGATCTTACCAAGATTGGACCCATAGATGAGATACCTATTCAAGGTATTTTAACAATGGATCAGGGTCAGATTCCTCGTTTGATAGACGTTGAAGAAGCAATTCGGGATGCACAATTACCTTTACTTGAAATAGATTTTAATACTCTTAAGAAATTTGATCCTTCACAATTAATAAATATGAGTGAATATCGAAATTTTCAAAAGGACATAAGACTTGCAGCAATAGATTATGTTTACAAATCAATAGAAAATGTTATAAAAAAGGAAATACCAAATATAGAATTAACCAAAAATTTATCTCAATTCAAATTAAAAAGTGTATTGATAAGTATCCCTGAAGCCAGCGAAAAAGGTGAAAATAAAAAAAATGCATTAAAAATTTCTTGGAACTCTAAAGATCAAAACTTGGCAGATTATTTAATTTCAATTATAGACGATGTTCTTCCCGAACCTACACCTTATGTTAATGATTATATAGAAACTTAGTGTAAATAGATTTTAAAAATTATATTTAATTATATACATATATATGTAAAAATTTAGATTTAATCGTACAATATAATAGAAATTATTTTGTTATGATTCAATTTCTTAAATTTCAATTGATGGATTGATAAATTTTGATTATGTTTATTTTATTTATACGTTTGCTCATTTTACAACAGATTGATTTATTCATAAAAGTTAATTGATTGAGTGATTGAATGTAGTATCTATTCCAAAAATTAATACCTAAAACTAATAAACTCGAGAAAGAGAGATTTCAATAATAATAATAATAAGTAAAAATGAAAATGAAATACAATAAAGAATAAAGATCCCTACAGAAATTGAACCTGTAGAAATTCGATCGAACTTTTGTGATGGAGAGAGATAACTTGCTTCACAAACATATATGAAAATGATGCCAGTGTCAATAGGGAGTACTCGCTTTGGGTGAATAAACATAAAGGAGATAAGCGCGCGAACTATATAAAAAAGATATATATTTAATTATATCAAAAATGAATATGGCAATTGACATGAATGCATGAAAAATATCAATACTATTCTAAAAAAAGTATGTAATAAAAAAAAAGTCTATTTTCGCTTAATAACCTTTTACCTATATATCAATACATTTAAAAATCTTTCTCGCATTTTTTATTGCATATACTAAATTTCAGAAGTTTAACCAACCTTTTATATAAATTTTTCAAACATAAATGGAGGAAAATTTTCTACTGTACTTAAAATTCGCTGAACAATATAGTCTTTGGTTATTGTTTTGTTAAGAAAAGGGAATTGGAATCATCAGTGATGAAGAGAAGGCATTTTCTTGTTATTTGAAATTGGAAGGGGAAATAGTTATGGACCTGGACAGGACATTGCATTGTTATCAAAATAGTTATGGATAATATAATCTTGGGCATTCAATGTGGAATTGGAACCATCAAAGATGAAGAGATGGCATTTTCTAACCATAAAGTTATCAACACTAGTATTGGGAGCATTATAAATATCGTAATCATCATAAATCAACAAATCATCAGAGATAGGGGACACAATGAAAACAAACCTCTTCGATATTCAAGAACTAGAACCCATAATTTAACAAACAACTTCCTATCAAGATAATACAAAGAATCTAACAAAAGGGCTATAGCCGAATACTCTAGAAATAAATGGCACTGCAGTAAACTACAACAATAACCAAGATATAGATATTGATATTGACGACCTCTTTGATATATTCTCAAACGAGGACCTGATCAATGATCCAAATGATATTCAAATAAATAATTTAAACAACTTAAACAATGATGCAATAAAAGATATTTCAATAACCAGTGATTCAGTTAACACACTTCCAGAAAACGAAAACTATCCAAAAAATAATGATAAACAAGAACAAAGAGAAGGCAAAAGTTCAAAAGAAGAAAATGAAATTAATCCCCAACTGAACGGTTCTATAATTCTTCCAGTAACATGGAAATTAGGTACTTAGAACATTAGAAGAATCTTAAACGAGATCAAACAAGAAATATGGTGGTAATTTTGCTTTGCTTGAGGGAAAAGTTCGATATCATGCTAATCACTAAAACTTAATTAAAGTAAATGTGTCTTCTCAGAACAGCGAAACAGAATAACGAGGAATATTATCAAATTTGGTAGGTGACAGTACAAGATAACAAAAAAAATAACAATGACAAAAGAATACAAGGAACAGGAGTCGGAATCATGATTATTAAATAATTAGCTAAACACGTTTAAGAAATCAAAAAAAAAAGGACAGCAGAGTATATGTATACAAATGGCTTTCCTTGAAAGATAAAAAGTGCAGATTGTGAGAATCTACGGAATATCTAAGAATAAAAAAAACATTAACAATAACAAAGAACTGAATACCTGGATAAAACAAAAATGTCCAAAGTACACAGTAAGGATTACATATCTATAATAATGAGGAGACTTTTAATATTACCATAGATTCTAGACTAGATAGAATCACTCACACAAGCCCTAACACTGAGAGTCAATTACTAAAAAAAAATACATAATAAGGGGTACCAAGACTCGTATAGAATATGTAACGGGAACAAAAGAGAATATTTCTACAAACAGAATTGATAATACTATATCAAGCAAACTAAAAACAATAGGAAGACTTTGTAAATTCCTTAGAAACTCACATTAACTAAAAAAACTATAATTACAGATACAATACCAGATCCTGAGGCACCCTATATTGAACTAAAAAAAAAAAGGCATCTTAATAGCAGGAAAAAGGAAATTTAACCAAATCAGGTGAACCAAAAAACAGGGTCACAAACAAATAGCAAAAACATCCAGTCTTCAAGAATCTAAACTCTCTATGAAAGACCTATCGAAAAGGTTGTAAACTAGCCCACTCATGTACATATATCACAAACAGAAAAAGAATAATCTATCTCCAAATGCACAGTAATAAACAACCGGGACAACCAATTAATTCCAAACTTCCCATCCGACGATTCTTTGGAAGTCAAACTTGAATGGATTAAACAAATTAGAAACATGTGGAAAAAATCCTAAAAAAGGATACAAGAAAAGAAAAAATCAAAACCATATTAAATGCCGACAGTTTAACTTTATAGATATCTCTAAAAAAAAAATCAAGTGTATCATAAGCAAAAAAACGTTTCATTTAACTCGATTACATAATTTGTCACGAAAATGACGATAAAATAAAAAGTAATAACAGATCCAGAAGAAGTTAAGTCAGAAGTAAGGCAACATCTCTTCAACTGGACAAAAAACAAACCGTACTAACCAGCCAATATTAAATGACAGATGGATAAAAATATTACAACCCAAGAAATGACATAGGCAATAGAATATATGACAGTATAATACAAGAAATTACGGAAAACGAGTTGATAGAATACAGTAATAACAATTCACTGGACCTTTCATTGATGCCATATGAAATATATAAGCATCTCGGACCTGCAAATACCATAGTAGAATTATTCAATAACATACTAGAAACTGACATTATTCCTAATGACTGGATAACAGGAAATGTAGTTCTTATACCTAAACCAAAAGAATGAGAGGGTAACTTAAAATATATATGTTCAATAATACCATTAAAAACAATCAGAAAAATCTTCATGAAGATAATCAACAAACAGTTATCTTCGGTACTTGTAGAAAACAGAATACTAAATCCCAACAATTATACTGGTTTATCAGGAGGAAGAAAAATATACCCGATACACATTTTGAAAAACATAATGGAGGAAGCTAGGGAAGAAAAAAAAAGAGCTATGGATCTTATTTCAAGATATAAAAAGAGCCTAGGCCCGTACATGATGACCAAAGCTCTTGAAAGAATTAAATTTTCACAAAAGGTAATTCAGATATTTCAATACATAATGAATAATAAAACAAATTCTGGGACTACGGAATACGGGATGACAGAGTAGACTTAACATCTCCTTGATAAGACAATAAATTTTACGAATGCAAAAATCGAACCAAAAGCAACCAGAGATCCAGTCAGATATCTTGGGATTTATGTAACAGAAAAAGGAAACAAAGATTTTCAAAAGAGTTTAATAACACAAAAAAATACTCACAACAATCAATAATGCGTTCAAAAAAAAAATAACAGATAAACAGATGCAATACATAATCAACCATGTATTATTTTCTCAAATTGAATACTTACTTTTAGACTTGGTCATATCTGAAATAGATGCTAAGATCACAAATGTGGCTATGCAAATTTTTTCTCAAATGCAAGCTAGAGCTATAAGGGTATATAATCTCATAAATAGACAAGTACAAACACATGCAATCAGAATTTGTGTAGAGAATAAATGACAATAATTTATATGGAATGTCAATAACAATTCAAGTGCAACAGTTACAAAACTACCTTTGGTACACACGACCGAATTGGAATAAAGAAGTAATTAACAGATTCTCAAGTACACCAAAAAATCTAAGTGGAGAAATAATTAAAGTCCTTAGTTAAACATGATATCAATCTTCTTAATATTCCAAGTGGTGAAGGAAACTACCCAATTTGAATTCGTATACAACTCGGGAAAGAAAGAATTATTACTTGGAACAATTACTAAATGCAATCATATATTACATTGAATACCAAGATCTTGTAGTACAATTATTCAAAAATCTTCTAAGAAAGATTTGTTTTCCAAATTTTAAAAAGAAAGGATTTACCAATATTTATAAATTTAGTATTTATCGATCGATTTAGATCCAAAGAAAAATTACTATATTTAGGGAATTACATAATAATTTAATCTATTAATATGTTTAATATGTGTAATATGTGATAACTTGTTTCCTGTATCAATCCGGATTAAAATATCTGATTTTTTACCATCGGAAAAAAATGCACTTAAATGAATGAATATACAAAGACATAATTTCGTAATATTTAGATCATTTGATTGACTGTATGACAAACAGATTTCTTAAGTACTATAAAACAAATTCTGATAATCTTTTCCTAGAATTTAGGCTTTTTCCGATTTTAAAATAATTTGGTTTTCAATTTTTCAATATATAAATATATTTACTATGGAAATAAGCTCACCTAACTGGGATCAAAATCCAGAAGATAATTGGAAAACCGATGATGATAATACTAAAAATGACTGGTCAATATCTGGTTGGGAAGATGATGTTTTTGAAGAATCAGTTAGAAGATTTAAGGATGATTTAAATCGAGTGTTTTGTGATTTTTATGATGAATGGAGACGCCTTTTACCCAAAGAAAAGTCATTTTCTATGCAAGATTCGTATATAATTCCTCCTATCGAAGGTAAAATTAATAAATTTCCCGAGATTATTCATTCAAGTTATTCAAGTTATTTAAGTTATTTAAGTTATTCACGTGTTCTACTTTAAAATATTTTAATTAACGAGTTATTTATACTCTTGTTAATATAATTATTTAGTTGGTGAAGAAGATAATATACTTCATATTCATGGTGAGGATCATTTCATTACAAGAATATATATATAAGTATATATTAGTTGAAATTCTTACATTTTTATATGATGGCTAGTTGAACTTCCAAATTTTCCAAAAGAATGTATTGGTGGTAAATAATTAATTAAATTTTGTCAATATGATTTTTGTTATATTTATTTTATTTGTTTTATTTTATTTATTTATTTATTATTTATTTTCAATCAATTTCATTAATAGTTTTTGTCTTTTGGGATACTTTATTTATCCGTGATGTAAATTGGGATAAAAAACCTCTTCATGGTCGCTTCACGGTATTTTCATTATTTGTCTCATTATAATTTACAAAAAGCTTTTACTTAATTTAATTTAATTTTATTTTTTATTGAATAGGCCACAATTCCTTTACCTTTTAAGATCATTTCTAAATTGTCACAAGTGATAATTAAACATGGTGTTATTGACATGAATGTAATTGACTAAACAATATTATTCTCATTATTGAAAATAATTGTTTTAAAGTTATTAAAATTTTTTATTATTATTTACACACAATAGTTACTTCGATTCACGTTACCTTTCCCTTATAAGCGTCTCATCACTTATAAAACTAATTGAAAGAATTTGAAGGGATTTTAAGAAGGGATTTAAAGGAATTTGAAGGAATCGGAAGGATGATAGATTTGAAGGAATTGAGGGCGGGGGTTTTTTTTTTCGTTTAAGAATTTTTGGAATATTAATTGATTGTTTAAAGTAATCAAATTCAATAATAATTTTTAATTAATTAATTAAACCAAAATTTCTTGAGTATTTTTTTAAATTTTCCTAATGTCTTTATTTTTAATACCACTTGAAGCCTCTTCTAAAAATCTCTCGCAAAAGAAAGATCATCATTATTATTATTTTTATTGTGATTATTGTATTTGAATTTTTTTTTTTTGGATAATTCGAATACTATTGTATATTATCATTGTATATGATCACAAAAAAAAAAGGCAAAGGAAAAATTTTTCATTGTATAAAATCTACACAATAAATGTAAAATTAATATATATCTAATTATTTAATGTCCTTTTGTATTTTATTGATAACTTACTGTATGTACAATAATATTTATATACAAATATAAAATATACATTTTTTTTTAATTTTAAAAGCGTATATTTTTATATTCAAACAATTATATCTTATCTTTTCATAAATTCGTTCGAAGATGTATTTTTTTTTTTTTTTAAAAAAAAAAAAAACAAAATTTTCTAAAAATAATATTTTAACCACATCACCAATTTTATCTAAAATAATATATATTACCTAAAATATATTTCAGTTCTTGGTAATCCCTTATCTTGAGCTTGTCGCTTCAAATTTTTCCAATCACTTTCTTCTTCCAATTTATACCAACCTCCCATATCACTTTTATACCACATTCGTTCCCATTTCCAACCAAATCTTTGCCTAACATGAAATTTGAAATGACTTAAAATTCCATCGGAAGAATAAACGACCGCTCGCTTTTGAGTAGGGATAATACATGTAATGTACATCTATTAAGTAAATAAAATGTGATAAAATAATATAATTTATGTATGATTTATGTAATAATTATTTGATAATTATTATATTAAATTTTTTACCTCTTTCATTTTTATCCCATCATTCTGATAAACAGAATTGTAATATTTCTGGGGAGGGAAATTCTGTTTTAATGGAATGATTGCGAAAGTATTGGAATTGGATCTTTTACTTTGTGTAGTTACTGTATTTATTATTCCCGTCTAAATAATAATTATAATAATAATTTTTTTATCAAAAATTTGAATTCGATATATATATATATATATATATATAATGTATAGTTGTATATATCATATTTACTTGATTTAATTGACTCATTTGTGGAAATAATAGATTTTTAAATAATTCATCCAATCTAGTTATTTCGGCCGTTCCGATATGTGTTTCAGGTTTAAGATTAAAGCATCTTAAAGTATTGAGCCTTCCATTCGTTGGGTCTTTATTCGTTCGTGTTGGTTTATCCCTATAAGGGAATCCTTTTGAATGAAAATAATACTATTATTTTGAAATAAATAAATAAAACAGTAAATAAAAATAAATAAATAAATAAATATGATGATAATAATAATTAATGAACAATTACCGTTCGAACAAAATTAAATTTTAATTTTATAACTATTGAAAAATCTCTACCCAAACGGAAACTTTCAATTTCTTTCATACTAATAGATATCTCATTTCTCATATTATTCAAACAAATTGAAATTTCGCGTTTTGGGGCATGTACCAATAATGCCATGTCTCCTCGTCTTGTTGAATGGGTGCAATGCGACATGGCACTGTTGTAATGAATTTGTCTCAATGGAATAACGTAAGCGGTTGAGACATCATCAAATGAATTATTTGTCCAACGCATTCGTGTCATTGAAGAACCTAAAAAGTGAAAAGTTGAAAATATATATATAAAAATAATGAATGTATAAGAATATATAATATATAAGGATATAAATGTTGTTAGGGCAAAAATAGATAAAAAAATAAACCAAGACAAACAAATTTTACAAATTAAATTACCTGATACCCATTCAATGTCATCTTGTTCTTGATCATTCTCGTAATTATTTATCATTTTGGGGGGGGTAATATAACAAGATACGAACAAGGTGACAAAAAAAAAGGAGCTTCTCGAGTTATTCCAAAAGAAAGACAAATAATAATGTTTCCGATATTTATTTATTTCTTTTCGATACTCGTTATATAAAAATGTATAAAAATTAAAATCAAAAATATTTTGAATAGCATAAATGCTATAATCTATATTTTTATACATTTTTATACATTGAATCCATTGTGTTACTTACACGAGTTGTCGGAAAATTGAATTACGTGTTACATAAATATATTTCTGTAAAACAATAGAGATATGTAAAAAGTCACTATTCGATATTGAAATTATTTATCTCCGCTAAAATTAGATTTATTTTAAGTTTATTTCAAGTTAAATCAAATTTCAAATTATAATTATTGATTAGAATAAATTTAAAAAATTTATATATAAATAAGACGATAACTATAAAAAATTGTATTTCAAAAACCACAAAAATGTATCGAAATAATAATAATAATAAAATATTCAAAATATTTAAAATATTATTTGTATTTTTATTTATTTTTAGTTGGTTAACAATAAAATCATTAGCAATACCAACAGATGATAATATTTCCGGAATACCCCAAGAAAGTAATAATAATAATTCATATCCAAATCTGGGATATACAAAATTATTAGCTTATTCGTTATATTTTTATGAGGCACAAAGAAGTGGAAAGTTACCTTCTAATAATAGAGTCTCTTGGTTAATATTATAATACATACATACATACATACATAAATAAATATTTACATATTATGACTTTATGAAATTAATTTATAAATGGTTTTTTTTTAGGAGACATGATTCAGCTTTACAAGATGGTCAAGATGTTAATCTTGATTTAACTGGAGTTTGTGTTTTATTGTATTTTATTATTTTTTTTTCTGCGGCTTTTTGTTTACATTTTTGATTCACATTTTCATTATCTCTATTAATAGGGTTATTTTGATGCAGGTAAAAAAAAATGATTAAATTAGTTTTAAGACCTATTAAGTAATTTCATTAATTTAACCTAATTAATAACCTTATATATAACCTAATATAACCTAATAATAACCTAATAAATATAAATATAATAATAGGCGATTACCTAAAGTTCACATTTCCATTATCTTGGGTTATAACATCATTATCTTGGGGAATTTTAGAGTGGGGTCAAGGATATCAACTTGCGAATCAGTCTCAATATATTTATGATATGTTAAGATGGGGTACTGATTGGTTAATAAAAGCTCATCCCGAACCAAATACATTATACGTTATGATCGGGTTAGGTGAAATCGATAATAATTATTGGGGACCCGATACGAAGTAAATTAAATGTTAAAGAATTTTATTAACTATTAATATATCTAATTTATCTAATTTATCCAATATCTAATTTATCTATCATTATTCAGTATTCCTTATCCACGTCCTTCATTCAAAATAAATTCAACAGCACATGGGACTGATGTCGCTGGAGAAGCTGCTGCGGCATTTGCTGCATCATCTTTAATATTTAGAAATTATTTTAATGATTCTACTTATGCCGATATTCTTTTATCACATGCAAAAGATACTTACGCTTTGGCTGAATTAACTCCTTTTGTATTATATCAAAATTCTGTCCCTCAAATTGTAAATCTTTATTCATCCTCAAATTTTACTGATGAATTAGTTTGGGGTGCTCTTTGGTTACATCGAGCAATTAATGATGAATCTAATAATAATAATAATGAATTTAATTATTATTATCTTAACAAAGCAATTAATTATTTTAATAATTATTCTATGGCTGGACAAAATAATGTAGTAAATTGGGATGATAAAACTGGTGCTGTTTATTTATTATTTGCTGATTTAATTCATAAATATGGTCAAGAAGGTCAAGAAGATTTAAGTAAATGGAAAAATGAAGCTGAACGTTATTTAGATGGAATAATTAATTTATCAACTTGTTCACTTACCAAAGGTGGACTTTATTGGTGTGATGGAGATAGTGAATCAGCTTCCTTAAATCCTGCACTTAATGCCGCATTCTTATTATTACTTTATAGTTCTTTAAATATATCAACTTCTTCTTCTATCGAAAAAATTCAAAGTTATAAAAATTTTGCTATCTCACAAATTGATTATACATTAGGTAAAAATCCAAGGAATGCTCCTTATGTAATTGGTCTTCATCCTAATTCTCCCAAGAATCCTCATCACGCTGGTGCAAGTGGTGGAAATGATGTATCAAATTTAAATGATCCTTCAGAGACAAAATATATTTTATATGGAGCTCTTGTGGGAGGACCAGATAAGAAAGATAAATTTAGTGATGATAGGACAAATTATGATGAAACTGAGGTATTATTAATAAAAATTTATTTATTATATTAATAATTTATTTGTTATTTTATATTAACAAATAAATCAATTTAAAGGTCGCTTTAGATTATAATTCACCACTTCAAAATTTAATGGCATATCAAGTAATTAATTCTCATATTGATCCTCATTATGTTAATATTTCAAAAGAATCTTCTAATAGAATTACTACTACTGTCATAGTAATTATTATTGTGATTTGTATATCGATGGTAATTTTAATTGGTGTTATTACATTTTCATTTTGGAAACGCAAAAAAATTTCAAGATGGTGGGAAAATCTTCGAAAACAAAATTCATAATTTTTTTAATTTATTTAATATATTTATTTATTTAAGTTATTTAATTTATTTTATATTTTTAATATTTATTAATCTGTAATTATTACCAAACATTATCTGATAATATTGTTGTTACTCACCTCACATCTTGTATATTAAAAAGAAATGATGATCTAATTATTAACTATATAAATTAATTGAAAATATTCACCACATCAATTCGCGAGTTATCCGTTTAATTTACTAAACAGTAGATCCGAAAATGTTGAGAAAAAAAAATAAAGAAACTAGGCAAAATTTCCTTTTGATTAATAACTAGATAATCAATATTGGGCCCATTTTTGGAATTAAAAAATAATAGGTTACACAAATCCCATAACAGATAAGTAAGTGTATATATAATATATCTTTGTTTATTAATTAAAGTTTCTTCCTTAGCATTAAACTAAACAAAAATAACAAAAAATAGAATAAAACAACTATATTGAGTATTAGAAGGAAGAAATAAAAATCAGTTGTCGAAGGTTGAGCAGTGGAACAATTGGTTAGGCAGTGAGACAATTGGTTAGACAGTTATTTATTTATTTGTTTAAATGGACGAAGTACCTTAACTTATTTAATAAAGTCTTATAAGATAATATGAGTATATGTAAAATATTGTGCTGAATACTTTTACTTAGAGGTCAAATGGTAGTTAATATAATAAAGCTCTGAGTTTTTTACAATCTTTATTATTTTGATTCAATCACAATCAAGGATCTGAATAATCATAATTAGATTCCAAAAATGCTCGTTATTGTTGTACGAATGCATGCAAACCGGAATTCATTTAATCCGATAGAGACTGTTGTCAATATTTTTTTAGAAAACGGAAGAAATGAAAGAAGTGATAGAAGTGGGAAAAACCGAAGAATTGGAAGAATCGGAAGAATCGGAAGAGTAGGCATATTGTTATAGTAAACTTTATTTTAAAATCATAATTTTTATTGCTAATAATAATTTGCATATTTCTAATCAATTATATAAACTAATCAATATAAATTATATTACAGTTGGTGAGTATTTAGATTCATAATTATTCAAATCAATGTTTCAATTTAATCCAATATCATATAACAATTCTCCAATCAATTATAAACTAATCAATATAAATTACATTACAGAGAGTGAGTATTGAAACCAATGTTTCAATTTAATTCAATATCATATAATAATTCCCTAATCAATTATAAACTAATCAATATAAATTATATTACAGAAAGTGAGTATTGAAATCAATGTTTCAATTTAATTCAATATCATATAACAATTCTCTAATCAATTAATAAACTAATCAATATAAATTATATTTCAGTCAGTGAGTTTTTAGATTCATAACTATTGAAATCAATGTTTCAATTTAATTCAGTATCATATAACAATTCTTTAATTAATTATCCATAATATTTTTTAGAAGATGTAGAGAATGTTATCAAGATAATACTGGAAAAGATTGATGCCATTCATGTAATGTCAAACGATTTCAAAATGAATTTGATAAATGGACAAGTGAAGATAGAAAAATTGATGAGTTTGTTCAGCAAATACAACTAAAGGTAAATGAATATCAAGAAAGTATTGAGTGGATTCCATTTGACAAACTTGAAAATGCCACATCTTGCTAAATGGGTTTTGGCACAGTATACAAAGCAAAATGGCTTGATGGATTTATTATTTCCAGTAAAAAAAAAAATGGTATAGGTTTGGTAAACAAGATGTTTGCTTAAAAAAGTCTTGATAATTCCACAAATAAAATTGAATTTTTACAAGAGGTAAATATTTTATGTTATTTACATTATTTTAAATATATAATACTTTATTTCATTTATGTTAATAAATATTTAGATTAAAAATCAACTTAATTTTCGAGGTAAAAAAGGCAATTGCAATATATGGCATCACCAAAAATCCAACAAAAAATGAATTTATGATGGTTTTGCAATATGAAAATTATGGTAGTCTTCGAAAACTGTTGAATAATAAGTTTGAAGAATTAACTTTGAGAAGAAAATATGATAATTTATCATCTAATTTAAATGGACTTAATGCATAAAGATTTTCATTCCGGCAATATAGTTAATCAAACCTTGATTTCATGTTTTATTACTGATTTTGGACTGTGCAAACCAATTACAGAAAAAGATACAGAAAATATTTATGGTGAAATTCCATACATGGCACCTGAGACATTAAGTAAAGGAGAATACACTCGAGCATCTGACATTTATTCTTTTGGTATGGTTATGTTAGAAGTTCTAACTAGTTATCCACCATATTATAATATTCCAC